TTGTTAATTTTTAAGGTACTTAGGGATTTATAGCATTTTCCATTTTTTTGTTTGTTATTTCCTCTTCTTTTCTCCCAGTATATTAGATGTTCTTATAAGCCTCCTGTTTTGTTTGGTTTCCAATGACTCAGGCATGCCTAACTTTAATATTCAATGATATATATTTAAACTTCAAGATCTTGTCTAGTTCCTTCATAGCTGCTCTTCCAAGTCCAAGTCTTCTTCTGATTTCTTGAAGGCAGACTCTACTCTGATTAATGACTAAGCCAAGATATGGACAATCTTGAACTACTTCAATGTCTTCATTGTCCACTCTGAAGTTATGTAAATCTTCTCTTCTGCACAACCATTAAAGGTACAGGAGCCTCTTGCTGTTTTCAACATATCCATGCAACCATATTAATGGTCCCATCACAAAAACCTTCCATTTTCAAGAGCAGCTGGGGAAAGAACAAGATTCTGTAGTCTGAAGCATGTGGGCTGTTGTCAGGTTTTTTTTTTAAAAAAAATTACATGATAAGAGGTTGCTCACCTGTTGCATAGGCATGGGTGCCACTGCACTCAAGGGCTGGATGTTCCTCACTGCTGAAGAGTACTTGTATTGTGAGATTCCACGTGAGAAAGTTGGTGAGGAGGGTGCCCGAACACTGACAGTCTGGGTTCCTATGTTGGCTGGAAACAAAAAAGCGACATGTTAGAAATATTTTCAGAGGACTTATTTTAAAGGATGAAAAAGGTGGTGGAAGCTATCAGATCTATGCCAAGTCTGGGATATGCAAGCCTGTGACATGTGTTCAGGATCGTCACTTCATTACAGAGTTAAGTCAAGCAAAACTAGGACCCTATGTTTACAATACATTAAAGACTCTGTTGTGCATATTGCAGAAGTAGGAAGACCAGCAGCACATGGACAAAAACATTATTCCTCTTGGTAAAACCTCTGTCTGGAGGCAGCAGACTGGGAGCAAGTTTTGCTGCCCATTTCTCCCTTGTTTTCCAGGCTGAAGCTCCTATGCCTCCCTGCCCCAAACTGAGTAACTCCCAATAAGGCCTTCCCAGCTTCCATTTCTTGGTCTCCAAGAACTGACTTTTGTGAGCAGAAATTATTTGCTTTCCAAACTTTCAGTATCAATTTGTTGCCAGCATTCAAGCTTTCAGTTGTGCTAATGGGTCATTTATCAAAAACAAAGCAGGAACCATTCACATGTGCTACACATGAAAGCTCATTTACACATGTGCTACACAAACTCAGTGCATTACATCAGATGATGAGCCATAACCATTTCCTAACTTACCCACTCTTTGGGCATTGGGTGGCACTCTGGGAACTTGAGTGGATGCTTGTCTCATAGTGCTGATGTTGTTCAGCAAGCGCCTAGGAGGTGCACTTGTCCTCAAGATGGGTGTGGCTGTGTGATAGGATGCTGAAAATGTCAAATACCTCAATTAGAAAACTTACTTACACAGGAGATAAGGGCATACATAGATTGTCTAAGCAAAGCCCTGTTTTTTTCTAATTACTGAGCATTAGGCTACAGAGTTAAATCACCATATAGAAAATACAGAATCATAGAGTTTGAAGAGACCATAAAGGCCATTCAGTCCAACCCCCTGCCATGCAGGAAGACACAATCAAAGCACTACCAACAGACAGCCATCCAGCCTATGTTTAAAAACCTGCAAAAAGGAGACTCCATCACTCTCCGAGGCAGTGTGTTCCACTGTCGAACAGCTCTTGCCATCAAGGCGTCCTTCCTAAAGTTTAGGTGGAATCTCTTTTTCTGTGGTTTGAATCCATTGCTTCATGTCCAAAACTCTGGAGCAGCAGAAAATAAGCTTGCTTCATCCTGAACATAACACCCCTTCAAATATTTAAACATGTTGCTCTGGACTGCAATATCTGAACTATTGCTGTTGGTAAGAAGCAGTTTGCTCCACTTTAACTTCCATGACTCAGTGCTATGAAATTCTGGAATTTGTAATGAGGCACCAAAGCTCTCTGACAGGGAAGGTTAAATATCTCACAAAACTACAAATCCCATAATTCCATAGCACTGAGTCACAGTGGTGACAAACTGCTTTATTTCTGCAGTATCAATACATCCTCAATCCAGGCATCAGCCAACAGGGAGGCAGAACTTCACACAACCTGCAGCATTGTGCACACCTACCTTCCCACACATGTTCTTTCAATGATTTTTTAAAAAAACATTAACTCACAAGGAGGCCTGGAGGGCTGAGTGTTCCAGCGAGGAGCAGGGCGGACTGGGGCAACAGGGCTTGGATTGTAGAAAGTAGTTCTGGGTTGTGGCTGTATATAAAAAAGAAAAGAATGCAAGATAGTGTCTGTAAAATAAACACAATACATTGTTGAATTGTCATTCAACATGCAGAACTTTGGAATATACCTGCTCTGGGATTTGTAGATTATTGTGGCACCAGAACTCTCTGACAGAGAAGGCTAAACGTCTCACAAAACTACAAATCCTAGAATTCCATAGCACCGAGCCATGGCAATTAAATCTGTGTCAAACTGCATTATTTCTGCAGGGTAGATGCGGCCAGAGTGTATTCCACAATTTGGGAGAAAAAGTAAGCCCAACAACTCATCCTCGCTGTTTCTTTAAACTTGCAGGGATTCCTAAAACGTGGTCCTCAAAGCATTTTGGACTTCAACTCCCAGAAGCCC